CAGATTCGTTCCGCACGGGCGAAAATGTTAGTAAACTCAACAAGGCTCGTATAGACGTATGACATAAAGTGAGCACAAGAAATCAAAGAACAACCTAATCATGATAAAACAAGTTAAATGTGAAACAAAGAGGTCGTTAATGCAATATCTGGGCAGTCACGACAATATACATATTTTAACATGTAATAAATAATGAGAAATCTATAATAATAATTGTAACAACTTTATCTTAGAGAAATATACGCCCCTGAGCGTAAGATAATGAAGGCTAAACATATACAGAATTATTATCATGAAACATCTATATTTTACATATAACGTAATCATAACAAAAACAAGTTAGATGTGAAACAAATAAGTCGTTATTGTAATGTCTCGCAGTTACAACAATATATATGTATTTTAACATGAAATAAATAATGAGCAATCTTTAAGGACAATTATAACAATTTTACCTTAGAAAAATATATGCCCTTGAGCATAAAGCTAAACATACAAAGAATTATTATCATGAAACATCTATAAACATCACAATCATAAGATTACATAGAACAATTAACAACAAAGTACTTAAAGAATATTACCTGCTAACTAATACCGGTTAAACACTTAATTTCACACTACTTTGTCACACTACCCGCCGATCGTCTTGCTACCTATCTGCACACTGTTCTCACTTCAACTACTTATCTTCGACTAACCAGGCTTCCTTCCAGAATGCCCCACCTATACATTAGTTTTTGCGCTTTCTGTTACCAACCGTCAATATTACTTTTTCATTATTATACAACACTCATGTAACAGGTGACGTCGAAGTTGATAAGATAAGTACGGTTTTGCACAACATTGTTAATTACACTGCATATATTTCCAATACACCTCAATTCAGTAAAATATGGAAAAAATCCCAATTTTCTATTTAGTCGTGGAGAAACAGGATGACACTAGGTTTATGGAGTTCATAAATAAATAAGTTCTAGAATAAAGTTGTGTCTGCTTTATTATCTTTGTTGATCATAAGAAATCTAACACAAATAATATTTTCAAAGGCCAATTTCATAATTAAGTTTAAAGTTACTTTAAAATTAAAAAAATATTGCCATCCTAAGATTCATTTCAACTTATTTTACATTTTGAATAATATTTAAGTAGTACCTACGAAAGGTATGGCAGAGCAGAAAATCCTTGTTATTAAATTTCGCGGGTAACTGTATTTAATACTGATCTCTATATGTATTTGGTGTATATATAGGGTGTTTTTAAATGAAATAGCAAAAATGGTACCAGTGAATGTAGAGCCAAAAATAAGAGGATTAAAGTAAAAATACCTTATATGAAAGTTGAATGCCTGAGGCGATATACCCTCTTAAAGGAGGAGATTGAAATTCATATTTTAATTTTTTTTCTTTAACAACAATAACAATAAACAGACAACTTTTCAATATTTTTTCGATCATTGGCGTATTTTATAAATGAGTGAAACAGTTAACCCCATTTCAATATTTTATTAGAATTTTTTTATATGAAGCAAATTATTTATTTGAAAATATTTATTGGAAACACTGATTTATTGCGCAACTTTTTTACCTCCTGTAATTTTTCGATAAAACCGATAGTTTTCTAGTAAAAAAATTAGATGCGTCATCGTTCACTAAAGGGGTAATTGCAAAAATTTGTAAAAATAAAGTAGGCGGATGTCATAACAAATAAATTGTTATCTATCATATTAATAAATTGACACGTTCTGTCAATAAGCTAGTAATTTAATAATAACATTAAGAATAATTTGCTATTAATGAATGAAAAATGTTTGATAACTTATAACTATGGGACATGTATTAGGTAAAGTTATTTATCTGAAATAAAATTTAATACAAACGAAAAACAAGAAATACAGAATTAAATTTAAAGAATATTCTCGAAATAATTTCCATTTTGCTGCAAGCATAACCCAATACGTCTGTTGAAGTTATAACGCACTCGCACAAACAGTTCTTGGTTATTGCGAAGGTCATCTGCTGCCTGAAATATTCTTAAGCGTAGTTCTTCTAAAGAAACAACAGGAGCGGCATAAACAATAATTTTTATGTGTCCCCACAAAAAGAAATCCATAGGCGTTAGGTCAGGTGAACGTGCAGGCCAACAAACAGGGGCATCACGACTATGACCAATCCAGCGATTCAGGTAATTTAAATTTAACCATTCTCTAACGGCAAGTGTACTATGTGCAGGCGCCATTGTGCATATACCACATCACCTGACGTGTAGCGAGGGGTAATGTTGGAATATTTTCGTTCAAAAATCTAAGATGCTCGGCCGCTCCAAGCCTGTGTGGAAGAATAAAAGGACCTACTATTAGTAGGTATTTCCTACAATTCCCATCCAAACGATTAAACTGAAATTATGTTGACATCTTGAAACAAATATTTCATAAGTATTCTTTTCCGACCATGAATGAACATTATGAAGGTTTACTGCACCTACTCTAGGAAATTTTGCTTCATCGGTGAAAAGTATATTCATTAGGAAATTTAAGTCATGCCTGGAAATATTAATGTACCATTGACAAAAATCCACGCGGTTAGGTAAATCAGGGTCATTCAATTCTTGCACGGGTTGATGGTGAAAAGGGTATAAAAGATTTTCATGAGCTACATTCCACACAAGACTGTGAGAAACTTGCAGTTGCCTGGACACCTGTCTTGTGCTTGTACCACAGTCTTGTTCTAGATGTTCCAGTATAGCTTCCTCAGTTTCAACAGTTCGGACATTACGCCTTCTTCCGGCACCCTCACGATTGGGCTGAATTTTACCAGTTTCGCGAAGCCTTCTTTCCACCGAGGCCAATGTTTGTCTATGAGGAATCGGTCGGTTTGGATATCTTTGGTGGTATAATCTTACTGCAGCGTTACTATTTTTTCTGGATTCGAAAAACACTTGGAGCATGTTGACATATTCGTCATTGGTATAAATATTATTTGCCATAATTATTCTGATAATAAATTAATCAATTGGTACTAATTATTGGTTGACAGAAAGTGTCAATTTATTAATATGATAAATAACAATTTATTTGTTATGACATCAGCCTACTTTATTTTCACAAATTTTCGCAATTACCCCTTTAGTGAACGATGACGCATCTAATTTTTTACTAGAAAACTATCGGTTTTATCGAAAAATTACAAGAGGTATAAAAGTTGCGCAATAAATCAGTCATCCCAATAAATATTTTTAAGTAAATAATTTGATTCAGATAAAAAATTCTAATAAAATATTGCAATGGGGTTGACTGTTTCACTCCTTTAAAAAATACGCCAATTATCGAACAAATATTGAAAAGTTGTGCCTTTATTAGTAGGATGCTCATACCAAGTTTCGTGTCTCTAGCGTTCCTCATGTTAAAGAAAAAAATTAAAATGTGAATTTCAATCTCCACCTTTAAGAGGGTATATCGCCTCAGGGTGCAACTTTCATATAAGGTATTTTTACTTCAATCCTCTTATTTTTGGCTCTACATTCACTGGTACCATTTTTGCTGCTTCACTTAATAACACCCTGTATAAACAAATGCAGAATAGTGCGAATGGTCAAGAATGTGAGTATGTGTGAACATTAGTCGAGGTACATATATTTGTATAACCAAATGACGTATCGTAATTGCCATATGAATACATTTGAAAGTATGTCTTCACTTGTCAAATATTCGCCAAAACATTGCAAAGCAAGAGATTGACTTGCTCACATTTTGCAAGTATATGCATCGTACACTTACCAAATCTGTAATTGGGTGCTTGTCCGCTGAATATTGTAAAATAAATAAATAAATAAATGAATGAATGAATGAACGAATGAATGAATGAATGGATGGATGGATGGATGGATGGATGGATGGATGGATGGATGAATGAATGAATGAATGAATAAATAAATAAACAAATAAATAAATAAATAAATAAATAAATAAATAAATAAATAAATATTGCTCTCCTTTCCCGTATAATATTAACCCTAAATATAATAATTTCAGAAATGTTTAGTCATGAAATCATCGTGATAGTTATCCACTAACTAGGTTGTATTCCTCTTAAGGTAATTAACTTTTATTTATCTGCTGCCGCGCATAAAGTAAATTACTCTGCATAACAATTTTTTTATTTTATCTTTCTTACTACCCTAGAATGCAAAACAATATTAAATAATGACTCTACATTTACGACTAGTAAATTTTAAATATAATCCCTTGTGTATTATTTATTGCATTCGTAATGTGCTGAATTCCTTCTCTGAGCTCATTTTTTTTATTGCGCTTGCGCTGCAGTGTGGTGGGCAGCATGCTCAATGGCGCCTTCTCTAAAATTCCATTTGTCATTCTGAACAATTATAGGTATCCTCGCTCATTCAACGGTCCGTTTGTTTCAAACAGATATAATTTCTTTAAAAAATTATACCTACATATTAATTTTAAATCTGCGCTGTGCGTTCATTACAGTATCCGTCCACAATGATTGCCATGAATAAACAACTGAGCAATAATGACTTATCTGTCATCAGGAACTGTCATTTTATTCTTAAGATTTGAAATATTGTGTTTGTAAAAAAATCGATAAATATTCAAGATTTTTTTTATCATTCAACGAGATTTTTGGTAAAACGATACCCTATTCCGATTTTCAACAAGTATACCTTTTTTATGTAAAATTGTCCACGGAATCTAAAACTGAATCCCAAATGATTATTAGGTCATTGGCGTAGATGTTGGGGTAAAATAATTCCGCTCTACTACCCATTCCTACGCCACTGACCTACAAAAATTGTATGTAAATGTTAACACCACACCAAATTTGAAAATCAATTTGTTATAAGCATAGCAAAGATTTCATAAATAATATGATTTTAGAAACCAAAGCCAACAATTCTGAATTATTTATTGAGTTCTATTTGTGGTTAAAGTTTGATTCACTCGAATTGAAACATCCTGTATAAGTATATCTACTAACCTTCTAAATATTTCCTCATTATAAAATGAAGGTAAATCATCACGATTAAGAAAATCCTCCGATAAGTCATCACAAGTATATTTTGCACCTTCATTTAATAAATTGTTTACAAATTCTTGAGCAGAGGAAGCTAAAAATAAGAAAAAATTGACAACCAACGAATAATAGCCTATTAGAATTTGAGTTGAAGAAAAATTAGGTATTTAAAAAAAATTGAAAGAAGCTAATAAAGAACTGAAATTGAAAATAATTGTATTTAAAAAAAAATGGACTTGTGGCAAGTGGCAGCCAAAATGATGAGAGTGGCTATCAAAAAGAAATGCGGTTAAATCTAGTGCTAAATCATATATTATTCTATGATAATTATTTTAATAGTAGAATGAAAAACCTTTGCTGTTTGCTGTTTTAAAGTATAAATAACATTAAAAAAAAATACATAACAGACCGGATATTTTAACTACAAACAGAACGAAGCTACTCACATTTAGTTTTCTTTAAAACTGAATCCATATTTTTCATTGACCCTTGTTGTTTACAGTCTCTTTATGTTCATTCTAATACTTCGTCCTAACCGACGTTTGTTTGTTATAAACAGAAGCTAATCAGTTTGTATTAACCGTGACCCTCATTTTTTTAATATGCAATGAATTTTACTTTTAAATAGTTTTACATAAATTTTAAAAAATGATTGATTACAGAGCCCCATAAGAAAATTTGTTAAAATGGCACATTATGTATTTTTTTACCAATTCTGGAAGATATTTTTTTCTGCGTTCAACTATATAAGGAAGTCTATAGTTTCATTAGAAATATTGCTAGAAAAACAGCAAAAAAAAATGCACCCTACTTTCAATAGCTTTATTCTGAAAAATTATAACCAGCTGCGGAAACAACTGAATTTTGACGTTTCTAAATAACGGTTTATCTAAATAATTGACATTTTGTACCTACCAAAATACCTATTCTATCTACAACTAATTATGACATGACATGATTTTAATTTATGGAAAGGGTCGAAAGAACGCTAAAGCTGCCAGATATTTATACCAATATCGTTTTTTGCAGCGACAACTTCCATCAGATAAAATTTTCAGAAAGTTAGCCGGGAATTTGGGGGCTGATAGAAATTTTAAAAGGAAAAGAAGAGTTTTTAAACCTAGAAGGGCACGAGATGAAGAACAATCGATAAAAATGTTAAAGGGCCTGCTACATATTTGGATCTCACCTACAGATTTTTTTCTTTGGCCTTACCTAAATAATATTGACGACCTTAAAAACTGAATAAGACAAGAATGTCGGAGATTAAATGAAAAAACATTAGAGTATGTTTGTAGAGAGGAAGTGATAAACAGAGCTATTCTGTATTTGGAAGCGAATGGAGGTCATTTTGAACATTTGATATAAGTATTGTTTTAAATTGTTATATTATTATCGTATTAAAAATAAAATATGTTACTTTAAAAAACATAGTAGCTTGTTTCCGTAGCTGGCTTTTTCAGAATAAAGCTACGAAAAGTAGGGTTAATCTTTTTTGCTGTTTTTCTAGCAATATTTCTAATGAAACTATAGACTTCCTTACATAGCTGAATGCAGAAAAAAATATCTTCCAGAATTGATAAAAAAATATATAGTGTGCCAATTGAACAAAAACAGTTAACTATAGCAATTTTCGAGCGGCGATTTAAAAATATATAGGGTTTGTTTAGCTCTTTGTTAAAATAAAAGAGATACAGGGCCGCGAATACCAAACTGAATCATTCGGTATATACGTTTTTGGCGTCCCTGAATACGAATCTGGTGTCCGTTTGATACGATCAAGTCTGGTTTAAGGTCGGTCCAAGGTAAAATTTAGAGAATCAATTGTCAACAAAGTAAATCTGCATATTTATACGTTTTTAAAGTTGCTGAGTCCGAATCCAATAGTAGGATCATATTCGATGCAAAGTAATAAATCATTGCCTGTTAAGGGACCCAGTGCAGTACGGTTTTGAGGGGTTTCTCTGATATACGACCAAGCTCGCCAGGTTAGTATTTGACGTATAACCGACCACTTCGTACACTCGATGCACTTGGATGACTACAGCTACTACCAGAACACAGTGCGTGGTATTTCAGATTTTATATTCAATTTCATTTTAAATTTAAAATGGTTGATCTTACGATTCCTAAAAATGAATACTCGACTTTCCTTAGATAAAGGACCTTCAATTTTTTGCTCTACTTTGCATCGAATATGATATTACTATAGGTCCTTTTGACACGATCAGGTTTGCTAAATATTCTCCAGTTCTAAACTCAAAATAGTTTAGTTAAGCATTTACGCGTGTTAAAATTTGTGTAACAAATAAGATCAAAGCAAGAAAGCTTTTCAACTCGGAGCCCGTGGCGTGTTCATACAAAGTGAGTACGTATAGACTGAGATTCTTGTGAACAGTTTTTCAAGATAAGAGTTTTTTTTACATGTAATCACTATTATGCTATCGAGATTACTACTTACTTTTGCGGTATCGAACTGTTGTTGTCAAAAGATCTGTGAAGTTGATTTCTTTTACGTTTTCTCGATTTCAATGGTAAATCTCGTTCTAACGACCGGCCAACATATTTATAACCCATCTGTCTTGGTAACGACGCTCCATTTCCTTAATTCTTGGTGAAATCTTTCTCCCTGCTTCTCAAATCCAATCAAATTCTTCACATTGGGTTCGAAACGAAATAAATTTTTATATTCATCTTTCATATGTTGATATTTTTTTCTATTCTTGCATCATCGGAGTATATTTTCTATGACGTATCGAAGAAATCTTGATCACCTGTCTGCAGCCCAGGGTACCTCCACGTGGTGACGGTGGACAACGATTTTTTGTGAATTTTTTTCTATCATCGGTTAAATCCCTGGGTGAAGGCGTTTGTGCCGTCATGGTATTCACAGGGAAACCTGTGACGATGCAGGGAATCCCAGTTTCGGCGATAGATACCATGGTCTTGTGTTTCGAACCTCCTACTTTTTTGTGGCGATGTAGAGAAAAAATATACCCTTTCTTGTAAAACATTTAACATGAATAACACACTTGACCTAAGATTATGTAATATTTTTACAGGTCACCAGGTCACGCGTGGGAATTTTTATTAATAAACTAATTCTAATTAAACGCTCTTGATAACAATTTACTCACATACAGAATGTTCCACGTAAAATGTGGAACATCTTTACAGCAAATTTTGGTTTTATCTGATATTATTTAAATTAGAAAAATCCTAGTTAGCAATGAACGTTTATTTACTGGTAGTAAGCCATTTACATATGTGCGTACTAAAATTCATATCGATATCTGGAGTAAATTCAAAGGATATGAAGAAAAATCTAATCTACTTTGTGGCCTACAATTGGAAATTTTTTTTATCATATTTTTGTATAGGCTATATACTACTCTAAGGCCGATTCAGTCTCATAATATACATGTATAACAAAGTGGGAGACATAGATTTAACTGATTTAAATTTACCCGACAATTGAAGATACACAAAAAGTGTTTACACACGTAAAAAAGAATTACAATAATGGTATAAAATCATTATGAGAAAAAAATAAATAGTAAAACATACAACACAGTACACACACACACATGTGCAGCAGTGTTGACACATAATTAGTACAGAATGTAAAGAACAAAAAAAAATGGTAATAAAATAACAATATAAGTACAAGCAATAAATGGTTGTCAAATGTTAAAACAAAATGTTTGTAAGAAGACAACAAAACAAACAGTAAATGATACGTGTTGAAATAAGATTATGAGTAATGTTTAATCTGTAAGATAATACTGAAACAATGCATCTGAAATGTGCGAAGCCTCGTCTAAGTTAATATTAGGATGAGATCTCTCTCGCGTATTATAAAAATGCGTTGGTTAATAGAAAGTTTTTTTTCGCAAATAATATAGGGTTGAGATGACGTACTGGAACTGGTAATGCATTAAAGAACTGGATGCCCAGATATGATGTGCCATTACGTGTTTTACTTAAGGAGGTTTATCGGGTACGGAGGTACGTCTAAAGTCTAATTAAAGATTCTGCAGATTCGTTAGTGACTAAACTAGTAAACCTTTAGAATTGGCAACGTTGCACTTGGCTGGCGCGCTTGGCTCGGCGTTCGCTCGCTCCCGTTCGATCATTCTGTTTGTTTGGACACCTGTGAATTTCAAATAATACGCTACGTCGAGACTGCGGCGTTGCCGCTATCACGCATATGGAGGATAAGTTAGTCAACGACAGTAGTTTGAAGGAGAATTATTATAGATTATGTATATTATAAGTACCTAATCAATTTCTAAAAGCTGTCAAAAGGTTCCTTTGATATCAGTTTCCTATTTATACAAATTACTGTGGAAACTATTCGTCAATTGCTGTGCATTCTAAGTGGAAAGACCAAAAAAATCTGCATTCTCATAAGACTCGGAACTAAATCGTGAAAAATTATTGTATTAATATCTCGTCTCTTAGGTATCCAAACTAGTCATATTTTTTTTTGAGGATTTTCTCCATATTAATAAGCTTATATTAGTTTTTTTTATGAATATTTGTTCGTCAATTCCAAATTAGATAAACCTCCTTAAGCGATGAAAGTTTAAGTTTATGTAATTTTTGTTTCTAGTGTTATAAGAATGGATTTGGCTATGGACAGTATACAACTCTTCCTTTTCTTTAAAGGCACTGGGGTATGTACGTACATGGTAATGTTAAAATACCAAGTTTCTTAAACTGTGCTCTGCAATCATCTCTGAATTTGAAACCCGAAATTATTCAAATTTTAAAAAATAATTTAGTAAAACAGAAAGCATTTGTATAACGTAGCAAGGTGTTATTCTAAAGTCACCATAATCTTTTGATATCACTGTGATCGAAGCGCTGAACATTTAAAACAAAAACAAAACATTCGTTGCTAAAAGGAACAAACATTTTTACATTCAATATTAACTAATATTGGTACAGAGTTACGTTATTAATAATTGTAAATATATTTTTAAATTAACTGGTAGACAACAAAACTAAGTAAAAATAACTTGTGTGAAAACAGATTTATTTAATATTGCAACGACTTGTTATTTTAAAGTCAGCATATTTTTTGTTAATGCGGATGAAGCACCGAACACCAAAAAACCTTCTGCTGCGGTATATCTTTGAAGTCCTCGCACCTGATGTAAATTAGGAATTGCCGAAAACTGCACCGTTTCATTTGGTAACATATTTGATTAATCCTTATCGGTATGGGGAAGTCCATATAAGTCTCTAATCTTATAAAGTTATTTATTTCAGTTTTCAGTGACGATACAGTGATATTTTGTGTTTTAATGTCATGTTTTTATATATTATGAAAAAACATTTATACGATTCAAGAAAGAGTTGATATGGTTAGAGCATACTTTTTATCAAGAGCAAAGAATAAGAACATGTTTGTCAGATTCTTTCAACATTTAACAGACTACGGCTTCCAATTTTAAACCAGAAATTTTGAATGCCGTAGAAGAGGAACCTGGTACCAGTACTCGAAGATTTAGTCCAAGCATTATAGAGAA